CAAGTATTGGAAACGTGGGCAACCTAACCAAAAGACAAAGGCTTAGTTACCTGTCTATGGGACCCAGATATGCTGACAAAAACCTAGCTGGGTGGGGAGGAGGTCAGAATTCATGTTGCTCTTACTTCCAGCCCCAAACAGGCTACATGGAGCGGACTACAGACGTTCTCATGGCACTTTGGGTGCACCAAGTACAAATGAGGGAATGGCACTCTCATTCCTGATGGTTCCACCCTGGTAGCAGTGGAGGGGTTCTGGGTAATACTGAGATGCCTCTTGGCAGTCACTTTCAACCCTGGCTTCCCCAACACATTCCTGAGATGTTCAGACATAAGCCCAGGGCCAAGATCCAGGACAGTGAGGCTGGTAGGCCAGCTGACCAGTGAGCACATCCAGGGTCATTCCGAGGCCCACCAGTGAGTAGAAGCAAGGTGGCTGGATGAATGTGTAATGAATACATGGACAGGAATTTAGAAAACCAGAACCACTATCAGGCTCTCAGAGGATGAGAGATGGGAAGATGATGAAAAGGTTCTGATATCAAAGCACGATGGGAAGTCCCCCAGGATGAACAATCAATCAGGGACAGGAAGAGTCTGGCAAGGAGAATGGTGACATCAACACCAAAGATTTTGGTGTTGTGCTTGTATCATATGAGTATCGCAACTTTGCAGGTGCATAAGTATTCCCTTCTATTTAACTAACCCTCATCTATACATATCTGGCTTACAGATCTGATTTTTGGTTTGGGTGGGGTGTCCCAGTTGGCAGCCAAAAATAAGGATGTTATCTGTCACGGCTCGGCTCAACAGCATGGGGGGAGGGTGGCCTTGGGGCAGATTTCGACTGCAGTTTTGGCTGAGGTGAGTGGAAGAGGCAAGAAGAATTAGGGTGTAACATATGGCTATCCATTCTTTCAAGAAGATACACTTAATGAGCTCATGTGTAAGCAAGACAGCCCTCGCTTCCAGAAGGCTCTCTGTCTAGGATGAGACAAGGGCTGATGGAGGTGGAAGATGGCAGTCTCTGAGAGGGGGTGTCAGGCACAGTGCCCTCCACAGAGGAGTTCCACATCTCCTGGGGTGAGACAAAAAAGCCAAAATCCCATTTCATTCTGTGAACACTCTGTGGCAAGGACCAGCCTTGCTTTTCTTTTTTCCAGCAAAGCTGGTGCTCAAGGAATACTTGCTAAAGAAGGAACAAATGAAGACACAAAGTGTCATGTGGACAAGTAACAGCTCCTTGGAAGGTGACAGCAGGGGCACTTTGAGTAGCATTTGGGAGGCTCTGCCAGGTGGATGAGATAAGAGAGGTATGGTGGGCAGAGAGATGGCAGCTGCAGTGGCAGAGGCAGGCATCAGAGCTGGCAGTGTTTGCTGCAAAATGGGATCCCAGCTAGCCAACCATGAGCAGATGAGGAGGGCTGAGGCTGGGCAGGGGCCAGGTTGCAGGGGCCCTTGGGACCTGTTCTAAGGTTTGGATTTGTGCACACTGCAGGAAGTCCTGAGACCAAAGGGTTGAGGTGGCCAGAGCTTCTAAGGCTGCTGTCTAGCCCAGGCGCCATCCCCTAGCTCCCTTCTCACAACTGGAGCCCTTCTCACGGTGGGTCTGCCTCTCAGAGCTGGCATGAAGCTGGAAATAGACAGCTGGGTGAGCAGGGCGTGCGCCAAACTGTTGCTGGCCGAACTTCCAGGTGATCCCTGTGTCCTTGAGCAAACACAAGTTGGGACTTCCCAGTTAATCAAATCTCTCTATTCTACAGATGGGGAAACCAAGGCCCTGGGAGGGCACAACCTCTCCAAGTCCCCCGGCAAAATTGGAATTTGAATCTAAGTTTGTAGGCTGCTTTGTTCTGCAAAGTAAGAGCGGCCTTGCTTCTTTGGGGGAAAGAAAATGGTCCAGCAACCCCTCCCTGGAATAGCTCCCAGTGCCTTCTCCCCAGAGACTGTTCTCTAAGTTTCAACCATGCAGTGTGGCAGAGCTTAGAGAACCTAGGCTTGGAAACATGAGAGATTTGGCTCCAAAGCCCAGCCCTACAGCTTAGCTCTGTGGCCTTGAGCAAGTTGCTGAACCACCAAGAAAGGAAAAACAGCAAGCCATCATTAATTAGGAAATATGACTGATTATAAAACAGGTCCTGACTTTAGACATGAACAAATGCAAAGAAAATCAAATACTTCTTACGACCAGTGAAATGTCATGTTTAAGGACCATGCTCAACTGATTTGCACAAGGGCAGAATGACAACATGCATGTGGGTATCAGTCTCCAAATTACATCTGACTTTCGCAATCCAGTAACTTACAGACCCCATGGGGTATTAAAGACCGGATCTGCTTTATCCACCGTGGCTTCCCTACCACTTCACTCACAGTAGGGCCTCAATAAGTAAGTGCTGAGCAAATAAGTACAACACAGCCAAGTACAAAAGAGGCGGAAAGCTCAGAAAAGAAAATAAATCATTCATAACTCCCCCACAGTGGGTATTTTGGCTTACTCCTGACAAGTCTTATTTCCCATGAATGTGCTCTTTTATATACATGTAAACATAATGTATTATTGGGTTTAGCTCTGGGATGTGTTTTTGTATTTCTCTATTAATATGAATGAAACGATGAAATGAGATGATGCGGAAATGCTTTGAAGACTGTAAAATGTTTAACAAATATCTTATTAGTCATAATAATTATAGGAGAACTGGCATGAATGGGGCTGATTTTCGGAGAATATTCTTCAAGGCAAACAATGAATGTGCTCTGTGAAGCTGAGGATACTTCTGTCTCCTCATCCGTGGGGAGCCCCTCTGTTCACACTGAGAAGAGGCTCCAGTCTTCTTAGAAGCTATAGCTGCCAACTTCCAACCAGTACAGAAACTTCCTTATTACTGGTAGGGGGCAGCCAGGGCTTGGGGATAGAATACACATATTGCTCAGGCTGCCTAGGGAACTGCCTCCTCTCCAACCTTCCCTAGCTGTGGGGGCAAGGGAGGGGTACAGGTTGTAGAAGTCACTGTTTGGGTTTTAGAGACCACGGTTCACCTATTCTGCTTGGCCACAGCCATGTAGACACTAGAGAGATGACAACACAAGGAAGTCATTCATGAGTGTGGCGGCAGGGACATCTCAAGTTGTAAAGCCAGATCTGCCGTGGGCAGCCGGTCAGCAAGGCAGCTGTAAATGCTGAGAGAATTCCTGCCTCCTTTATCAGTCTACACCTTGCTCGGCCCTTTGAAGGGAGGCTGCGATGACTAGCTCCTTGACCACATTCCAGTTAGCTTCCCCTGCACCTTTGGCTTGCCCATAAACACATGAACAAATATGAATGCAGGTTCTGACAGCTCTAGGGCACACTCCTGAGGGCGAGCCCAGCCTCTCTACAGTGCCTGAGAAAATTCAAGGCTGCCCAGTGAATTCACTGCTTGTCCCAACTAAGACCCCCATCTCCCAGCCTGAATGTAGGAACCTGCCTTCTATAAGCACCAGAAGAAAAAGCACCATGAGCAAACCCTGAAGAATATTCCAGTAGTTTGAGTAGTTTCCATTTCCCTGACTTTGTTAGAGCCCTTGCCATCTCCCTCATTCTTCATTTAAAACACCCAGCAGCGCCTCTGTGCAAATCCCAGTTGAGTTTGCACTGGCCCTCTTCCCTACCATGACAGCCTGTTGCCCTTACTACTTCAACTGCTGTGCAGCCTGCCTCAGAGCATTCCACAGTCCACCTGAAAGCTCAGCTCCAGGCTCACCTAGTCGGCCTGGCTGTCATGTGCCTTTACTGGGCAATCTACAATCTCACTCTTCCAGACTTCCTACTCCTTACTTCTGAACTTGGCCATTTGTTTTGCAGCTCCTTCTTTGTTCTCAGGATACTTCTTTTGGTTGCACCACTTGGTTCCCAGCATGTACATAACCCACAGATACCCCATTTCTGCTTCTACCACCTGGCCCAGGCTAGCTTTCCCCTCTGTGCTGCAGTGGAGGCTGACCTTGGGCCATTATCAACTGCCCAGGCATTGTGAATAGGGGATGGTTTGGGAGGCCTACACAGTCATTGCTCTCCTAGGGATTAAAAAGTATGAGTGTAGCTCACTTACACGTTTATGGTCAGCTCTGAATGCAGAATGTTTCTGTGTAAACTGGCTGAACAGCTGTCATTAGTACAAGATGAACGCTGATGTTTGAGCTGAACGTTACATCCCAGCCAAGCTCCCAGGTTCCATGGGTACGTGGTTGCCAAATGCTGCCAACATTCCAGCTCACGCCCCAGAGCCAGTGCCTCTCACCACTCCCTGACATCACTCTACGCGAAGCCTTCTGCAGCAACTGTCTTCTGGCTTAAGGATCTTACAGAATCCCGGCCTCCCTGGGCTTTTATTTTAGGTCAACTAGGCACAAGCACCCAGGAAAGAAGAGCAAGAAACAGGGTGTGGGCCCCTTGGCCTTCCTGCTAATCAGAAATTGCCAATTCTCCCTCCAGAGGTGTGAGACAGTGCCACACCCCTTCCGCCAGCTGGCAGAGTAGAAGCGGCAGCCTGGCTGCCAGGCCCTGTTCCCAAAGTTACCCTGCAAAGGGCATGCCACTTAAACTCTGTGGCTGGGCACGATGCTGCCATCCATCTTTTATCCCAGGCTGCTGTGGATCTCACTAACAAACAATGAAACCATTAAACCCTGCTTAGCAGTTCCCCTTAGCATCCATTGGCATAAACCACAAAGTTATTTCATCAATATGCATGGAAAGTCTACTGTGACAGAATGTTCTGGAAATTAAAAAAAAATCCTCAACCAATTCAGTGAAGAAGAAAATAAGCTGGGTTTTCTCCCTGCCAATTTTCCAATCCAAAGGTAGCACAGGAGTGCAGTGGGGAAAGGCTATCCAGGCTCTGAGCTTAGCGTGGTTCTGCCTGTTCCCACACCTCCACCAAGGCCCTGCAAGCGGGGGATTCAGAGTCTGCTGGGAGTGGGGGGCTCTGAACACGATCCTGGGGAGCCCAGGGAACTTACCCTCTGCTCCTGTGTGGCCACGAAGGTCTGGAAGCCTGGAGCCACCCCAAAGCCCAGCTCTTGGATGAAAGGCGGCTCAGACTGACTGTGGATCTGAACTTTCACTCCTGCTTCAAACGTTGTCTCCTCTGAAAGAACACAGGGGACAGAGTCATGCGTCAGTGACAACGGATGTGCCCAGAGCCCCAGGGTTGGAAGGCTCAAAGGCCACATGCAGAGTAGTGGTCTCCAAGGATGCTCTCCCCCTCCCCATCTCTGGGAATGGTATGTGTCACCTTGCACTGCAATAGGGGCATTGCAGACACAGTCAAGTTAAAGGCTTGGGACAAAGCTGGTGGGACCGATGTAATCACAGAGGATCTTACTACGGGGAAGCAGGAGGACCAAAGTCAGAGGGAGGACGGGAACATGCTGTGCTGCTGGCTTTGGAGGTGGAGGAAGGGCTGTGAGCCAAGGGATGCAGGCAGCCCCAGACACCAGGCAAGGCAGGGGCATGGATTTTCTCTTACAGTCTCCAATAGGAACATGGCCCTGCCAACAACCTCGACTCAAACCAGCCCAGGAAACCCTATTTCAGACTCAGTTTCTAGAGTTTTAAGATAGGACACATTGCTTTCAGCCACTCGATCTGTGGTCGTCTGTTACAGCAGTAGTGGGAAACAACTTCAAGCCAGCCAGGCCCACTGTCTGCCTCAGCTAGTCAACCTGCAGAGTGGGATTATGAAGCAAGTCATGCTCCTTTATTTGATCATGTGTGGAAGGCAAGGAGATCGGGAGGAGGAAATCACGGCACTGCAGCAGTGAAGTAAAAATGCAGAGCTTGTTGTGTCCCAAGGCACCCACCCATGGCAGCTGTGGATCAAAGGCAACCAAGAGCTTCCCTGCTCGGCCAGGAATGCTTCCACAGCAAGGCTTCACAGAGTGGGAGAGGCTCTCGGGCAACCCACACACAAGTCCCTTTTCCTTCAACGGATCAGTGGTTCTTCCTTTCTTCCCTTCTTCCTCCCTTCCCCTTTCCTTTCTTTGAAAGATACAGTGACAGATTTGGAGAAAAAGAGACATACATACCTAGAGATCTATCTACCACTCACTGGTTTATTCCCCATATGCTACCAACAGCTAAGGCTGGGCCAGGCTGATGCCAGCAAGTCTACTGGAGTCTCCCACATAGGAGCACTTGGGTCACCATCTGCTGCCTCCCATCATGGGCATCAGCAGGAAGCTGGATGGGAAGTGGAGGCAGGATTTAAACCTAAGCATTCTGGTATGGGATGCAGGTCTCCCAATCAGGGCCCTCACCTATTCGGGGATTTCTTCGCTCAGGTCACCTGTGCCCCTGTGGCTTGGCGTGACTTCATTGCCTACAAGGTGAATTTCTCAGGACAACAGGCTGTGAGCTTCTCATCTCAGTGCCACCTTGCCTAGCCCAGGGCCTGCCCCACAGGTGGCTTCCTCAGAGCAGGTGTCAGAATCCAGAGGAGGACATCAGGAGAGGGAGGACTGGGTGGGAGGAGGACAGTGGCTGCTTCTCAGCACTTATGGCCTCTGAAGCCTGCCCGAGCCAGGGTGAGGGGCCCTAAGAACCGGCTTAGGGGGACAGGAGGGAGTGTAGGTGATGTGGGGCCAGAAGGATGCCCGTGTTGGGAGAAGCAGGAGTACATTCAGTGGGCTGTGGGAGGGATCACAAGATGCCAAAGCTTGGGTTGCCTGAGCTGGCTCGAGTTGTGTGCCTGCCACGTGATGAAGTTTCAGGAACCCTATGTCTAGTAAGACAGGTTCAGGGGAGTGGAGCTGTGGCCCCTAGGGAGGGAGAAATGCAGCTCTTGTGTCAGAAATGCCGATTCCCTCTGGGCGAGAACTGCCCCAGCACATCAAAACCACATAGGGAGGAACGGGTGTCCCGCATTGGAGGGTCTGGCTTCGATTCCCAGCTCCAGCTCCAATTCCAGCTTCCTGCTGATGTAGCTCCTGGGAGGCAGTGGTGAAGCTGTGCGTGGCTGGGGGTCCTGCCCTTCATGGAGAGACTAGGATGGAGTTCCCGATTTCTGACTCTGGCCTGGGTGATGCAGTGAATTGGTGGGAGGCCCCCCCCCCCTTTTTTCTTAATGATATGAACTCCACACAGGTCTCCCAAATGGGGGAAGGGATCCAAACACTTGCATCATCATCTGTGCCTTCCCAGGTGTGTTAGCAGGGAGCAGAGTAGCCAGGACAGGAGCTGCTGCTCTAATGCGATTCTGATGTCGCCAGTAGCAGCTTAACCCACTGTGCTACAACAACAGTCTGGGAACCAGCATTCCTTTTAGCCTATAAGGAGTGTGATTTATCTAGTGTATACCCTGGTTCATAGCTTTGGGAGGTTCTGAATGGGACTGAAGAATTGAATATTTTTTTCCTTGTCACGTCCACTAAGCCCCTAGCACAGTGACTAAGCACAGAGCAGAGCTCAAAGCGGTGATGGCGGTGGAGGGAGAGGGACTGGGACAGGGCCTACGTTTGTGCCCCTCTGCTCAGCTCCCGTGCCTGGGGAGGTCAGCTTGCTGAGGTGCAGTGGGGCTGTGTATGCAGTGATCATAACTGGGACCACCTATGTTAATTTGTGGGTCTTAGTGTGAAACACAAATATAGGACTTCTAGGGAAAGCATATTGCTAAGATTACTAAAAAGAAAACAGGAACATTTCAAGACGGCCATCACAGCATTAAATAACTGTGTGGCCTTTGAGTCTGGCGCCCTGTGTGACTGCCCTGGTTCCAATCCACCATTCATACCCACACATTCCTCACTGCCAAGTGCTCCAGCCCTGGACTCCTTCAAAGAATATAGGCCCCCGAGCAGGGAAGGATTTGTTTACACATCACTAACATCAGGATTCGACGTCCCAGGAAAAGAGGCAGTGAGCATGGGAAAGGAAAGCTACTACACACTTGGTGTTCACAGTCCTTGTTCACTGGGACCGCGTGCAAACCCAGACAGCTCCACACAAGAGAACACTGTCGAGGCATGTGGGGGTTCAACTGGCAGCAGCCAGAGCCCCCCAGGACTTCTCAGGTGCACGGCCACGGCAGGTGCGTGGTGCACCCCACCTGGGGACGCCTTCCTGCGTGTGCAGAAAGGACGTGGAAGCGCTGTGGGAGGGGATGGGAGAGACGGGCAGAATGCATTAACGGGGCAGGGAAAAGTGTGCGGCAGTAAGAGTGGCTTAAATCTTTAATCTTTGCAAATTACAGGAAACACTCCGAGGAAAACATTGGAGAGGAGGAGGAAGAAAAGCTTTTCCGAAAGGCTGGGGAATTTTCTAGGCTCAGGTAATGGATGTGCTAATACAAAGGGATCTTGTTTTGGATAAAGTCGATTCTCCGCCTGTGGTTACTCCAAAGAGCTTCAGAGGAGAAGGTGGCAGGGAGGACGGCCCTGGGGCGGTGGGGGATGTGGGGTACCTTGCTGTGCAGAAGCATCCTGGACAGGATGGCTTCTGTCTGCACCCCTCCTAGCCCTCTCTTGCACCCCTGGAGTCACAGACTCCTCTGACCTCTGAGTTCTAATTGGGTCCAATGACAGCTCAGACAGGAGATGGCAGGAAGGGAGAGGAGGGTCAGGCTGGGCTGCTCAGCCTCTCAAGTCCATGGGTTGGGGTCCCTTTGGGAGGCCCAGGTTTGGGATAAGGGCACCTCCCCACACCGCTCGCTGGGCTCTGATGGTGGCTCCTTTTGTCTTCCTTGGAGGTAGTGGTGACGGCTCTCCCAGCTCCCAGGCCCAGCACACTGTCCCACCCTGGGCTGCCTTGCCCACACCTTCCTACAGAGTACTTGGTGACTCTTCCAATTGGCAGGTGCTATTGTTTCCTGTCTAGGTTCTCACTTGACCTTTGAGCGGTAGCAGGGTCTCCGCTGTGACATTGTGCCAGAGCACCCAGAGCTTTGGAGAGCTCACCCCGAAGAGGGAGCTTATGTTTTTTTTTGTTTGTCTTTGTACTGGTGCAAAATAGCCTTCTTGCAGATTTTATCCAGTCCCGGCTCCAACTCCTTTTCATCGTGAACTCCTGCAACAGCCTCCCAGAGTTAGAGGCAAGTGAAGCCACAGGAGGAAGAGCACATCATGTCCCCAGACATGCTCTGTGTGGCAGCGCTGCAGCCCGATGATCACAGGCAGGACTTGTGATCCAGCAACTGCCATCAAGTGTCCACAGAGGTGGGTGGAGTGTGCATACTCCGGTGCCCCTGTAGGGCCAGGGAGCTCACAAATACTTCAAAGATCCAAGTCATCCTGCACCAAGAACATGTTACACTTTGTTAATCTGAGTGTTATCCAAAGCCACCTTCCCTCCTCCCCCTTCTTACTCCAGCAGTGCCTCCAATTCACGGCTTGACTTCTGTGAGGTCCCTAGGCACCCGTGGTGATCACTCCCCACAAGTATCCATCAAAATACCCCTTCTGAGGGTGAGCAGAGCGGCTTGCTGGGGTCGTTGTGTGTCCCTATGCTCTTGACTCTTAGAATTCAGGCCTCTTGTTCTGGGGAGGTCCTTAGGACCTGGCACCACGACAGAGTATTTCCTGGAAGCAGAGTTGTTGGAGAAACCATAGCAACCATCCACATCCGCCCTTGTCATGTTCCATTTGTGATGGGGGGAATGAGGGGAGGTAGGAATGTGTTACCCTTGATAGCTGCTCAGGCCTTCCAGCTATACTCAAAATTTATGGTTATTTTTAATTTAATTTTTATTTTTATCAAAGCGATATATGTACATAATTTACAAAGCCAAATGATACTGCAAGGCTTCTAATGAAAAACATCAGTTTCCTGCTCCATCTCTGCACCTCCAGAGTCCCATCTCTCACAGGCGAAAGCGCTCAACCTTCCAAGCTGTTCCTACTTTCCTAGTTTCAGGCACATCAACTACTTGACAGTGACTTCTTGGCTTGAGAACATTTTAGGTATCGTCTCCTGCCTTCCTTCCATGGAAGCGGAGGATGTGGGCTCCTCGAGTGAAGTCTTGTACCCTGTTTCCTCATCTTTCATCCTCTACATACAGCTGGATCAGTATCCACCTTTTATGTAACTATGACTTGGGAAATGTGGTCCATAGCCCAACCTTGTTGCATATAATGTATTTAGGATCTTCCTGTG